CATTTGGGGTGAGGCTCTTGGAGGAGCGGTGCTTTTAAGACAGATGTAGCTGAAGCCCTGATCTGAATGGAGAGGCTGAACAACTGCGTGGCCACAATGGCCTGATGTAATACAGGACACGTATTACCCCGGCTGATGGCTCAGGGAACTGAAGCTGTCTCCTCTCACCTCTGTGATAAATCTATGCTTGCAATTTATGACTGATTTAGATCAGAGAAATGAAAGATAAGGAGCAATAAGTGTCTAGTTGGAGAATCAGATGATGAACCTGAATCAGCTTGCAACACAGAGGCGTCTATTTTGACACACAATAGCACAGTATGTATAGATCTTTTCTAAGCTACAGGAAAATGTTCTGCTTTCTTTTGAGCTCAGTGAAATAGATATGGATTCTCTGCAACCCTCCTGTTATCACGAAAGTATTTAAATGCCTTATCTCTTATCTCCATCATGATGTGAATTAAAATGATGGAGTGAATGTTCTGAAACTTTAAGCTATCAATCTGGAGTTATTAAAAAGATATTTACAGATAGAATCAATAAGGAAACAGATTTACTGCTTTTTAGGAAGATAAGATGAGGAGAAGGGGACAAGATTTCTTTTAATCCATACTGGGCCAAATAATGCTTAAAACCAAATAATTTCTTTCTCTCTCCTTCAGCTATTTAGTGAAATCAATGTATTTTCTGAGCAATAACAGGAGTTTCTTATGGTTCACTGTTCTCAGACAAAAATGATTGTATAAGCTTGGGAACCCAGTGGTCCTGTCCTTAGGGCAGAGCTGTCAAGAATGAAGAGAATTTGCAGAACATTTCTTTGTTTTACTGAAAGTGTCTCAAATTCATTACATCTTCAAGAAAACAAATATACACATTACACAGGCAGATCCTGCCATCAGGAAAATGATGACTGGATATATTCATGGTAAAAAAACAAAAGCATAAATATAACCAAGACCCTGACAAAGAAAAGTATTGAAACATCTTGAAGTATGTGTTCAGAGTAAAACACCTACATAATCACTTGGTCAAAGTGTATTCAAAATACAAAACTAATCTCTTATTTTTCTAGAAGTGAAGTTGGACAGTGTGGTCCTGGTTTTCTGACATGTTCTGTTGTATCAAATCACATAGCTTAAAACAGTACAAAACCTCTGGCTGTGGTTGCATCTAACATGCAGGTTCAACCCACAGAAATTGTCCATCCCAATATACAGTTTTTGCATTATACATACGTACAAACTCATCTACACATATACTGCCTAAATGTGTTCCCATTACTTCCTAAGCTCTTGCAAGGTATAAGACAACACAGCCAAGTAGCCTACAATAGCACATTTCCCTATCAAACAGAATGTGAAATAATTAAAAACTCAGTGTAACTTCACACAATTTAAGCAAATGCATTATTTAGTGGCGAATTTCCTGGGTGGGCTGGAAGGGACCTAAGGAAGTCCTAAACTTCCTCTTGTACCAGAACTCTAAGTGATGTTTCCCAGGGTAGCAGCCATGCCAATGATCAGCATATTTACTCCCATCATATCTGCACCCAGCACTGTCATGTCTCTTCTATGTCCAGACAATTCCTTTACCATGTTATAATGCAAGAAGACACTCGAATAATTTTCAGTCTACAAAGGCAAGTGCTTTAATGAGATGGTCTGCATGTAACCTATAAACTCTGAAGTTTTCATATCATGGGTAGCATCTACTCATTGTGGGTGGGGAGGGAGGGGGAGTCTGAATTGTAGTAGCCCCAGCTCAGTTAGGCCTTATGTGAACTACCCTTCTATGGAAATATATGTGGAAAGATGTGAAGGCAATACATGCCACCTTCCCTGTGCCTGGAAACAGTTGTGCTTTCACTCATCTCCCCTGACTTTAGACCTCTGCCTCTGGCAGTGTTCTCTCTCTCCAGTGACAGAAAATGACATTTAGCAGGTCTCTGCCCATAATTTAAGGCATTGCTGAGAACCTGAAAGTAAGTGGGATGATTCTAGCTTTCTGTTCATGACCGGTCGTGGTCCATCTCTACTTGCATTTCTAGATACCATTTTCAGTAATCATGCATTTCAGTCACTGAAATTGCCCTTTCCCAGCCTGAGATTACACACTGCTACCTATTTGTTCATGATGGTCAGTGCTGCAAATGAGCCTAGCAGGTAGTCTTGCATGGCAGTTCATGGTCATGTACCTTGTTCATGTATCCTAGCTTTCACACTGACACAGCAGCTAATTATAAAAGCAAATTGTAAGCCTATCTGTTTGTCCTTGCCTGTTGCCAAGTAATATTTAGTTTGATGTGAGACAATAGTATCAAGATGCTTGAACCAAGGTTGATATATAATAAGAAAATGATGTTAAGAGAAAACAATTGCAATAAGTAACCTTCCTCATAAGGAAAAGAATCAGAAAAATATACACAGTTCTACCATTTTACATGCTCTTTCATTTTAGTAATAACTTCTACGTCAGAGGCTAAATTTCACTTCATCTATTAAAATTACAACTATTGTTTCAGTTTCTTTGATATTTATAACAAATGAAAAAATATATAGCTCTCTTTATTGACTTATAAAAATTGAATAATTTCTTGAGGGCTAGTCGTCCAATCCTGAAAAATCAGGTGAACCCTTTTTGTTTATAATAGAGAAGAAAAAGAAGATAATATGGTTATAGACTATCCAAATGAACTTTTGGATCCATTATTACAGAGCTGACTGGTTACTTTGTCTGTGACTTTGATCCAGCCAATTCTACAGCTGTGCATAATTTTATATACTCTGACCTTCATGCAGTCAATAAAAAAGAAGATGCATCTAGTGCATAACCAATTGCAGATTCACATCCTAAACAATATCACAGCACAGCAGAGATCATCATTTTCACTTTTGGAAATCTTTTCAAATTGTGATAACCTGACTAAAATTTACCCACTTCCTAAGGCACTAAGAAACAAACAAAAGTGAAGCCTTGCTCAGAATACATATCAATTTTTTCTCTTCAGGATTTCTGGAGTAAAGCTGAATCCACCAATTCCAAAATTTCTGAAACTTTATTCCTAGTTCAGCCATTTGTTTTTACGTGTGTTATGTTCAGTTTTATATCCTAAATCCACAAGTTTTCAAATTGAGCCACTTAGCATACGGAAGAGTTGAGCTGGCATTTCTATTAATGCTCCCCAGTACTAACATGCAATCTTTGCTTCTTAAATTCTATTTGATTGCCAAACCCAGGCATAGATTAGAATAATCTGTCCATAGGTAAACTTGCCAAATTCCCATTCAGTTGACAACATCATATTCTTTTGTAAGTCCTAAGAACTGAGGATCATTTTCATTTTCTTTGCTTACTAGACAGAAGAAATCTCTGCGGCTGTGGCTCAAGTCACTGAAACATAGAGGAGAAAAAGAGGTGCCACTGTCCATGTACTGTAAATGTTAGACAATACAAGGGGATCTGGTTTGATGAAAGAGTGGTACCATATCAAGGTGCTGAGTGCCTATTCATTTCTAACAGAGATGCACCATGGCTTCATAACAAACAAACAAAAAGCAGGAAAGCAGTTCTTTTCTTCATTTTCTCCAGTTCATAACTGTTCCAGCTATTTATGGCTGGCTGTTTTCACCCAGCCTTCTGGAGGCATTTTTGTTCCTCGTGACCCTTCAGCACTTTTTCTGGATGCCTCTGCCTGAAAAAAAAGACAGAATTGGGGTTTGATTTATCCCCGATGAGAATGAAAATACTTTTCCTGTTGTGATGGAGGAGTGCTTGCAATGGCTTGACCTGCCCTGACAACTCTCTGTGTTTATTAACTTGCCTGAAATATTTGTTTTGGGATGTCAGGTGTTAATCTCAATTAATGCTGATTTTTTTTGCAGGAGACTACTGGAAAACAACTTTCTGTTAGAACTGTTCTAGTTTTACAGCAAAATACTTATTAATATAGAAAAATCTGAAGCAGAATAGTTGATATATTTTAATATTTTGCTAACATTATGCATTATTGGACTTTGTTTAATCACATTTTTAATTTAAATTAAAATCTGGCTCCTCACTGTGACCAGAAGAAAAAATACATTCACCTCCACTATGTAGTGTACAAAGACACAATAGCAAGTTTAGGAAACAGTACAGTCTATTTCTGGATGACAGATGCTTTGTAGTGTAATCATTATTCATTGGCTGCAGGGATTTTTGGGCAGATTGCCAAGCAGCCCATGTGCCTCTGCTTATTGCCACATTTCTTAAAGGTAGGTTTTTAATTGTAAAGGGGAGAGATCATGAGTGATTTGCTATACCATTTTTGACAAGTAGCATTCTAAATTAAGTGTTATGCCATTTTTTCACACGCAGGAAACTTTGGAGAACGTGATCTACCTCTCCAACAATCACACATTAAACTATAAAGCTCCATAGAACACAATTGTTGATAAGAAGAGAGGAAAACTGTGAAATTATTGACACCGTGTTGCAGTTCAGGGCCTTAGGTAAGTGTATGCAAAATGTAATCCACATATCCATCATAAAGAGCAACGACATGTTTATTGATACATTCCTTCTCAAAGGCAAAGTGCTCTTACCAGGTACTTTTCATCTCTACCTAGACCTGTATCTTCATCTATATTTTGTACAATATGCCCCTCCCATACGGCAGTGGAAAAAACACAGATCTACATATGAGTCTCATTCCAGGATTTGATGGGCATGACCAACATATGGTTTGCATCTTCTAGACCCTATCTAAGATTTTACAGATGTCCAGATCACCAGATCCTTAGGTCTTGATCTGTAGATATAGGGTCCTATAGGGATAAAATTATAGGATTTTGTCTTAGAGGAACTAGAATATGGTGAAATGATTAATACATTTCTTCACTGCGAACTTGAAAGGTGCAATTTTCACATTTGAATGTCTAGAACCCATACATCAATTTCTAGCTTTTAGCTTACTTCAGTGCTGTGAACTTGATTTCAGCACCTCCAAATTAAAATGTCATCCGGGTATATAGATGTCTTAATAGATGGGCTTCTCATGTGTGTGTCAGCAGCAGAGATGTGTACATCTGAGCTGGTCATCTAACTCTGCTTTAAGAGAGCAAGAGGAAGAGGCTCCTGTAAGGCACTGGTCATGTCTTCCAGAAGTAGAGTTTTAAAGCAGATCTGTTAACCACACACAATTTTTTTTCATACTCTTGCAGTAAAGAGAAGCTTGGGAGTTAGCCCCTATATAGACATCTGCAGTGTGGATACTGCACACACCTTGCATGCTAATCCACAGAGCAAATAACAAACAACTAAGTTTAAAAACTGGAAGCGAGAGGGACATCGTATGAGGAAAGAGTAGAACTGTTAACACACTAATACATCCTGGTTAGGCTGTTACACAAGCCCTCCTTCATGTTCTTTAGCATCCTAAATAGAAAGCAAGAGAGAAAGAGAGAGAGAGAGAGAAAGAGAGAAAGAGAAAAGAGAGAAAGAGAAAGAGACGGAGAAAGAAAGAAAGAAGAAAGAAAGAAAGAAAGAAAGAAAGAAAGAAAGAAAGAAAGAAAGAAAGAAAGAAAGAAAGAGAGGAAGAAAGAAAGAAAGGAAGAAAGAGAGGAAGAAAGAAAGAAAGGAAGAAAGAGAGGAAGAAAGAAAGAAAGAAAGAAAGAAAGAAAGAAAGAAAGAAAGAAAGAAAGAAAGAAAGAAAGAAAGAAAGAAAGAAAGAAAGAAAGAAAGAAAGAAAGAAAGAAAGAAAGAAAGAAAACAAATATTTGTGATGTGCTGGCAATAAGGCTGAGCTTTCCTGCAGGCTGCTGGGATGACCCAGTCTCTGGTAGGAGGGAGGAGACCAGTGGGTACCAGCATCCCACCTGCATTGTAGTGAAGACATGGGGCCCTGTAGGAGCTACTGCCACCTCCTGTCCTTGCACCCACACCTGGGAGCCCCTTTTCACCATTCATCTTGCATCTGTCTTATCTTTCACTACCTTATGAAGATACTGTGACAGATCATCAGGGGTCAAGAAGACTGTACTAAGATATATGACTAAAAACAATGAAGTAGAAATAAAACTAAGCAGAATAAGTATAGAGAAAAAAAAGTTTCCAAAACTTACTAACAGTGAAGTCTCAACAGGCATTAAAAGACAAGCAGTTCATTACTTACAGGCATTTTCTTCAGCGTCTTCAAGCCTGACCTTCAAAGGCATTACACAGCAGATAGTCACAATGCACTCACACATTGCCAGACTTGGTTGTGATCAAAATGAATGAGGTCCCCTGACACTCCTGAAAATACCTCTGCATGTAATCTGATGCTTTAGCTACTTTAATAACTTTAGCTATTTGACACTTTTCTCCACCTTCTTTAACCTTACTAGTGCACCTGCTCAACTCTCTTCACAAGATCTCCTGTGGTGCTCCATCAGATTACTGCTTTCCAAAAAGTTGCCAGGGTATGAATAAAAATATCCAGACTCTCATGCCTGCTCCCTCTCTAATTTATCCACCCCTTTTAGGAAACCTCACTGACTGTAGATATTAGTTTGAATTATGCAGACCAAATCTGCTAAGCTTTCAAACAACGTTTTATGAGTAGGTGTCATCCTCTTCCCACTTGGAAAATAACGTTTTGGTTTTCCTTTTCCTTATGCACCCTAATTGCTAAGGTTAAGATATGCCTTAACAGAGTTTATTTTACACCATGTGAAAAATTAGGTGTGACAAGCCTACAAAAGATAGAGAAACTCCATTGTAGAGTGTGATGCTGAACTGGCACAGGACAGATTAAAGTTACGTGGGCAAACCTGGGTTACTGGAGGCTGCTGTGTGTTGTCAGTTGGCAGGGGTTTTCCCGTGTGCATTGTGACTAGAAACCATCCTAAAGGTGAAGTGGGGGTACAGAAACTTTTTCACCCCTCTGGAAACATGAGATGGTGTGGGTGCTGGCAAGGAATAGAAGGGAGAAGGGGGATGAACTCATCAGTCAGGAACATCAAGAGTTCAAAGCAGCTCGCCCTACTCTTCAGTTGCCCAGAAAAAACAGAGGTTTGAGATGTTTAGGAAAGAAAGAATACCTCAGAAAAAAAAGAGCCTCCAAAAGCTTGTCAGATACCAAAGAAGTCCTTAAGGATAAAAATAAAAAGGAATGAAGAAAGGTCTTGGGTCTGGTCTGAATGATTAAGCAGCTTTTTCCATCTCTGATTTCTATGACTTCATACTTGTGTGTTGAAATACAGACTCCACTAAAATGGATGATGAAACTCCCACTGAATTCCAGGAGCTAGGCTTTTATCTGTAGTGTCTAAGGAGAACTTTTACTTATTCTAAAAGTCCTAAGTGCTATTTGATGAATTTCCAGCTGCCATAAAAGCTATTGTTGTCTTCCTAGTACTACAAGCACAATTCCATTTAGAAAAAGATCTGTACAAGCATAAGTATTTCCATAAATGTAAGGCTTCCTTTCTGTTTCTCATTGTCTTTAACAAGAGATACTTCCACTGATCAGTCTGAGAATTAAAAAAATAGTTATCTTACAGATCTGTAACTAAACCTTAATAAAATAAAAGATTGGATCTCCAAATCTATTTGGTCTGTATGCTGCCTATCACTTTTTTTTATGCTGACAGCTCCTGCTGCTCACAGCTAACAGCCTGAAGTGAAGCTCCCAGGCTCCACTGGTCTATAGCTACAAAGGGAATACGGGAGATCTGTAGGGAATTTGGAGAAGCCAGTTTGTTCCACATGGATGTGCATATTGCAACTACTATGAAATGTGGAAAGTAGGAGAATACTTTAAATGTTCCTTCTCTCTCCATGCTAGACTCCCTTCCCAGCACCACTGTGGCACAGGTGCCCATCTGGGTCTCGTTCCTTTCCCTGGCTGAAAAAAGGTGATGCCACATCTCCCATGTTCCTGCAATTCATTTTTTGGGGGAGGAACTAATGAGGGGAATGCAACATATCACTTCCCTGGTAACATCTTAACTTTTTGGTTTAGGAATGAAATAATCATGAGCAGGGTAAGCAGGAACTAGTGTGAGTTCTCCTCTGTGGTTTAGAGCCTTTCCCTTGATGGAAAGTTAGAACCTTCTCATGGGCAGGAGAGTATTCAGTAATGCTCAGACTTCTGGAATGCTGTCACAAACGGCACATTCTCTGGAGAGGGTGAGAAAGGATTGTTACCTCTAGCAGTTGTCATGAGGGGAATGGCTAAAGACACTACCTTGCAGACACTTGGTTTGTGTAGGTGTTTTCTTATCTTTGGGTAAGGAAGGCAAAGCAATGTCCAGCCTGTGGATCCCAGGATCACTTAGAGCATAAGTTACTTGGGCTTTCTGGGCTTTCTGATTTTCTTAGGACACATATCTTTCTCATAGTGTTTCCCTTTTTACAATTGCAACAGGCACTGGAATATTTCCAGTCCATCCCCAGATACTGGAAATGTTCAAGCTTCCCTCTTTGGAAGGGCCCAGCTGTTGCGTAGACCACCATCAACCTCAAAAAGGAGGGCAGCCCTGTGTTTCTGCACAACATTTCCTCATCTGTGTCCAGGTTTCTGCTTCCGCCCATGCCACCTGTATAGCCTTGGACATATGGTCAAACTCACCTCCCAAGAAGCAGCAAATGCCTAAAACAAATCAAAAAGCTTAGGTGTGCTGAGTCATGCTGGTTTGTAATTAAAGAGAACAAAAAATATATGTGTAATAAGGGTGACAAACTGTCTGAGCACAGCACACCACCACGCAGTTGTGTTTGCTGCTGGCTTCATCCAGGAGAGGCCATTTGGCGGGACTCCTTTCCACATCATCTGTATGGCAATGCCTCTTACTCTCCTTCCATCACTAAGTGATGTGAATAATATTTGTTTAGTTTCATTCCTACAAAACACTAGTTGCTCTTCCCACTGATGTTTGTGCCAGACTCTTTTCCAGGTTCTTTCATTTTTAATTCATTCTCTTTTTTGCCTGTCTTGAATGTTCTCATGTGGTTATAATTGCTTTTAGTGAATCTATGCTCCTTAAAAAAGCAGAAAAGTTAGTATGCTGGCACAGGCCACAGCAGACAGATTGCAAAGTAGTGTTCAAGTCTATTGAGGTTTCTTTCTTTATTGACAGAATGGAAAACAATATCCAAAAAGAACAAAGCTAACTTCAGAAAATACTAATTCTGTCCTGCAAATGTCAAGTTAGTGCCTTTTTTTTTCATCTTATGTGGGAAATGGTAAGGAAAAAACCAGATTTGATTAAAACCATGTGCACAGCAATATGTATAACAGACTAAATGAATTCATTAATAATCTTTCTATTGAAATGTTGGGAGCTTTTTTCCTTTTAGTTTTCCATTGTATATAAATTATCATTATTGTCTGGGTTTTTTCAGATATGGAAGCCTCCTAAAAAGCCTTTAGATAAGGATTGAATTTACCAACCATAAAGCAAAGCAGAGAGCTGTTGATGCTGATGCAGAAGAAATACTGTTGTGCAGAAAAGAATCTTGTAAGGCCATTAGCCTTCACCTATATTTACCACTACAGAAAACTTTAAGGCTACAGTTTTTGATGCCTCTAAATTTATTCCTGAATCCCTCTTCCTTAGGTATTTAACATGAGACACATGAATTGATCAAAATTACACATACGTACCAACCTTCCACATGTTACAAAACAATTAAACTAAAATGCATTAGATTATCACCATGCAAATTAGCAATATGTCATTCATTGTCTCAAATGAATTTATATCAATTTGGCTGTGCTGCAAGTCTGATGAAACAAGAAAAAATTCCCTGCACCGGGGAAATTCCTTGTCATCAGCTCTTTCCATATCCTAAGAATAAGCAATCAGTTGTGCGTGTTTAAAACAGCAAAGAAAAAAATTCATGGAAGCAACTGTCTCTTCCCCATAAATACTTACAGACTGAGTATTCTGAAAGACAATTTTTAAGATACTAACAGTAAAATAGTATGAGACAGAAAAAAATATTTTTTACCAGAAAAATCAGCAAGAAAACAACCAAAATCAACTCTTGCATGTAACAGAAAGCAGAACTGCCAAGGAAGATTTTTGCTGTATAACAGATTGGTTTCTAGCAAGAAGGGAGAGCTAAAGAATGATACTTTATGCAAATAAGTCAAGAAAGTAGAGACTAACAAATTTAATTGTATTAACACAGAGTATAAATAAATCCCATGTTTATATTTGGATGGTGAAAAATGTATTGACAAGTAAATGAAAAAGCAAGAATTTTTCCATTGCTCTGAATAATACAGTACCTTAGCAAATTGCCTAGAAAATCATCAAAATGAGACTGTGAAGCCTGCCTGTGCTGAATGGAATCGTATTTGTTGGAGAGAACTAGGATCACACTACTCAACAGAATTAAATTTGTTATGGCAGGTTTAGTAGCCAAACAACAGAGAATACACTGGAAATGTGTAACATATTTGTTAGCTAGACTGCGGTTTTCTGAATACTTCCATACTACAGACATGGAAAAAAGCTTCCAGGAAGTAAAATCTCACCATACTTGCCAAAAAACCAGACAAAATATGGAAAGATGATATATGAAAGTCTTAGATTTCCATCTTCTGTATGTTTGTGTTTGGACTCCATACCTATGAGAAGTCCCAAAGAATGTATATCTTACAAGCTAATATGCCATCTTTGTTGAAATTAATTACAATATGGATGTTTTGCCAATCTCCATACAGGAAAGTGTGCTGTGATGGAATTAAGGTCATGTAGGAGAGCACTTGACTTCCTTTCCCGTGAGCTTGTCCCTTCTTTGTGAACCTTTTTTTACTACAAAGTTGTCATATTCTGCAGCAAAGGAACCAGGAATCCCAATGGATAAAAACCATGTTCTTACCATATGACTGTGTTCCAGTCTCAGTATATGTATGAGGGCCTGCTTAACCTCTTGATCTGGTCTACCAAAAAGAAGAGGAAAGGAAAAAGAAAAAATGAAACTATAAAATAAAATTAAAGAGAAAGGGAAAATTGGAACTTTATCTAGAATTTCCAGTGTCTTCTTTAAAAAGCATTTTTGAAAGAGAAACCCTGAGATTAGCTCAGAATATTCTACAATTCTATGAAAGCAGCCACACATCTGTGGGAATTTTGGGGTTTTCTTTCCTTGTTAAGCAATTATCAATTTTTATTTTTTTTTAACTGAGATAACTTTGCAGGAGCTTGATTTACAGTGTGGGCCCACAAGCAGCTTTCCCTGGCTACCTGAAAGAGTCAGGAGCCTCAGAGCAGGATGTGAGAAGGTGCAGTGAAGTAAGGAGTGCAGGGAAAGTAAGCAAAGAATTAATGTCTTTGTTATTAAAATTGTTATTCACATAACTGTCCTGAAGACATATGACATTCTAACTATACCTTTTCTGAAGAAGCTAAATTTTGTATAGCTATTTTCAGTTCCATTCCATTGGGGATTTCTAGAGTTACAAGTAAATCCATACACAACCTTCTAGAAAACTTGGGATCTCCTACTCTAAATTAATCTATTCTTGCTTTAATGAATAAAGCTGATAAAAAGTGAGTACTTATGCTTTATAATAAATGTAAAAGTTGTGTTACTGGCATTAATTTAGAATTGCAACAAATTTATTTTTCAATTTCCTATTAATTGCAATTTTTATAAAAGTCGTGATACTTATTTTGTCAGCACATCAAAATATCATATCAGAAGTGCAAAAATTCTTGAAATGTTTACTAAAACTTGTGGTTTGGTACATGACAAAACTCATTGGCATCTGTAATTTGTGCAAACCTAACAAATCAGTTGTGCCACACATAAGAAATAGATATCCCATCAGCTTCACTGAGACTTCCTATAACAGAGAGAACTACTTCCCTGATTAAAGAAAAGATAGATGCTGAGTTCTGTTCTCAGATATATTAAGACAAATCTGGAATGCTTC